GAATGTTTAAAGGAATTGGTTACAACACTGTATGGATTGCTTCAATCCAATGTCTTCTCTTCAAAGTTTGAGGTTATAATAAAATGCTGACACTTGCCCTGTATAAAAAGACAAATGGGTATTTCCTCGATGTGACGGCTGATGATACACATTTCTTCTTTTGGATCAGTTAGGAGTTCCCAAAATTGTTTTAATTTGCTAAATACACAAATAATAAGTGACGGCTTGATCCGTTTATATAAGCTCACTATTTGAAAGCATCCCCACCTGTGTGGCTACTGCAGCAACTGTTACGCTCGGCTTAAACGTCTTTGGTTTTCCTGTCTAAGTTTCTCCAAAAGCATTTGCAGGGATTTTGACCCCTAGTTTATCCAGACAGACATCCTGGCTGTCATGATCCTACAAACATCTTCTATCAAAAAGGGGCTCAAGATCTGGTGATTTCTTGACCAAGTCAGTGTATAACTAATTTGGACATATACTTAGGATCATTTCTACCGTTAAGACCAATTGACACCTAAACCATAACTTCCTGGCTAATATCATGAGGTGTTGCTTCTTTATTTCCGTATAACATTCTTGCCCTATGAAAGGACGGCTTTCTCTGGCTTGGAAGCTTTCTGCTGTTTCTTCAAGCTGCAATGATCACTTTGGCCAAGAACGTACATTTTTGGACAATTCTCCAGATCTTAAGATTTTGCTTCTAAGTGGATTTCCAAACTGCAATCAGTAGGTTGCTTTTGGAGTAATGGCTTCACAAAGAATTTACCATTTTTCCTTAGATTTATATGAACATTTTGTACAGAGAGACTGGTTCATCTCTGGGGCACAGACACCATCTCCTGACTGGGCATTATGATGGATGGACATTTCCATGTCACTTATAATTGTTTTCAACACAACATCAACCAAAACAAATGCTTGTTCCCAATGTTTTAAAACGCTCTAAGGGTTAATATTCTCACAGCAATAAAAACAACATGTTGCCTGGTCCCTCTCCGAACCCCCTCATTGAAGAGACACAGCCTTGTGTACACAACCATGAAGTCAACACTGACAACAGCTATATTCCAACAACTACATTCAGGACATTTACACCCTGTGTGGGTGTGAAGGCTGATTACAGCCTGTCACCAAGCATTTGGTGAGAAGGAACACGTGCCACAAGAGGAGTGTGTGAGCATAAATGGTTAAATAATGACCAAAGGCTAAAACACAACTGGAAGGTAAAACAAATCAAAAAAGAAAAAAAAAGAAAAAGAAAAAAACAAATACACAGTGTATAATCAAACTGTTATAATCTTTCATTAGGTGTGCTACAAGTAAGCTGACCCAGCTCTAAAAGGGAATAATCTCTGGGTCACAGTGAACTGCAAATACAAACAGTAGGCAGGTGGTTTGGGTTCACTAAATGGTTTTACAGGAATAAGTTGGGTTCTTTTTTTTTTTTTGTTTTTTTTAGCAACATGAAGATAATATCTAAATCCTATACAAGTAAGATCTGACTAACTCCTGTTTTTGACAAGCATGATTAAACACAACACAAACTGTGTTGGCTTTAACCTTCTGAACCTGGGAAACTACTGAAAATGTGCGTACACACGGACAACAACCCCAGTTATCGACCTGCACCTCTGTTTGTCTTTGGATCAAAATAAAAAAAAACTGCCCAACTCTCAAACTGCATTAGTTTCCCATCAGAGGACAATGTATTTCATGTCTTTACAATCTAGACTGAATCACTAGATAAAACTGCAAAATGTCACCAAAATACAAAAACATTGTCATTCTTATGCTATATCATACCACCTTCATCTATAAAGCATTTTATAATAACAAAGGCTATTAATGAACTGCACATACAACTGAAAAAAAAAGCAAAATAAAAACAGAGAAGTAAAACACAAACAAAGCTTCTTGGTTGCAAAAAATAAATAAATAATGGCGTAGAAAAGCAAATAATGAAAACATGAGTCTTTGGATGAAACCAGGAAGTGTTGGTTCAATGAACTTTAACAAACTATAGAAAGTACAAAGGATCAGCAACAACAAAAAGAAGACATAATGCCTCAGTAGATACTTTTAGGTGTCTGCTTTCTAACAGAGCAAATATATATAATTAAACTTCTTGATATCCTTGGTCACTGTAAGTTGCAACCTTCTGGTTTACTCAGATGGACCAAATGTGCAATTTTTTATGTTCTTCCCTTATATATATATATTTATTATTATTATTATTATTATTATTATTATTATTATTATTATTATTATTATTGATAATCAAGTTTTTCTAATCTCACTTTATTTAACTGCTTTTTAACAAAAATGTTTCTTTTAAACATTAAATCAAATATCAAACACAACAGCTACGCAGCCATTTCAGTAAAACTTCCGATTTGTAATGAGTATCATCCTTTCTGCTCAATGGTTTAATGTTTTTATGAGCAATCCAGCCTTCCTACAGTAGATGAAAATGAAACTTTGCATGGACATTAAGCTGACAGAACAAATATAGTGGGCTAAGAGAAGTGACCTCTGGACCCTCCACATACAGCAACTTCTGGCTTCGTCCCAAGGACCAGTAAACTGTCACAGCTGTAAAGTGTAACACGAAGCAGCCACTGACAACAGGCAGTTCTTTTTTAGGGATTCATTGATGACATGATATCATTCTTTATCAGTTTAAATTTCTAATAAAAGCATTTTATAAAGGTGCAGCCTTGTCCTTAGCCATAGTCATTATCCATCTGGTTAATTATGGCAACCTAAAGGAATAAATGAATGAATACTTCTGATCATCTAGTAGATATACAAATACAGCATATGCAAACATCTAGTAAAATTAATTATATATATTTTAGTACTATATGTATAATTTAGTGCTTATGTCTGGAAAATGTAAGGAAGGTGATCTTTGAAATACCATTTGATCATACTTGGTGTGGTTATTTACTTGGTTATCATTACTTGGTTATGTGTGTTTCAAATAAATATTCAATTTAAGATTGCGTAAGTTGTAAATTATCTTAATTACAGTACTTCCAAATAAAGCTTTCATGGTCCATGATTTTTCTTCAATGTTGGGTTACAAATATAAATTTTAAGGTATTTTTCTATTAATTTATATGTTAGAAAAACATCTAAAAGGTCTGTACTTGGACCTGGCCATCCTTATACAAAGTCTGATACAGTTTCAGCTACTGAACTCTGGCTGCATGTTTATCATCACCGTTAACCCATCTTAGGCTCTTTTTTGTAGTCCCTGTTTAACAATTGCTCTGAATTAAAATCATTTTACCTTTCAATCAAACATAACCAAAATGCCCCACACCATGACAATGCCCCAACTATGTTTCACCACAAGGATGGTATGTTCAGGGTGGTAGTTTTATGTAGTACAAAGAAGTTCTCCAGAAAGTTTCAATTCCAGTCCTGTTTTATCTTCCTCCACATATTAGCTAAGACCCCAACATTCTAGAAAACTAAAAGCAGGACCTCTTGTGACTTTTTTTTTTTTTTGCAACCCCTTGATAAAAGTTGCATTCCTAAAAAGATCCCTGAACTTTCAGCACAAGCGCTTTTGGCTTTTCTGATAAATGATTTATTAATGTGTTCATTAATCCTCATGATGCTGCTTGTTTTGCATTCTGTAACAAACCTCTTAGGCCTTTAGAGGACAGCTATATTTAAAACTGCAATGAAATGCACACAGGTGGACTTTATCTGATAATTTGGCATCTATTTAAGGCATCCGGTTGCGGTGGCTCTTTATTTAGGGCTATCTAAGTAAAGGGCATTAATACAGATGCACAACAAACTATTTTTATCTATAGCATGAAAAATATTGATACCCATTTATAACTTTCCCCTTCACCACTGTGCACTACTTTTTGTTGCATGTAAGTATGTATCAGATAATATCCTTATACAATAAATTTAAAATTATTGATAAAATAGGTCAGAAATTAAAGAAACATCACATTTGGCAGATAGCTTACAAAGTCAACTATAAAATGCTTTATAACCATTGGCCGTGAAGATCAGGGCTCCTAGAGTAAATATCTCAGTGGAAATACTGGTTTAAAGGCTTGTGATGCACAAACTGTTCAGTGACTTGGAAACAAACAACTAATGCAACTATTTCATCAGTTTCAATCATCGCCTTGGAGTTTCAGCTTCAGGCAAATAGAGAAACACTGACAAAAAAAGCTAAGAAACATTGAGCATATATCCTGTATTTCTAACTTTTTTTGCTGTTTTTGTCAGTGAGTGTATCTTGGTATGTCAAAAATCTGACACTAAGAAATATTAGACCAAAGGTCAAACAGAGACTCAACACTGAAATGATACAAATTTGGTTCTCAAAACTGAAGATTCATTTTTACAAGTGTCTTAACTTAGTGCTAATAATAAAATTAAGCTTTGATGTGCAGATTTGTTCATCCAGTATATATTAAAACAGCCAAAATCTACATAAACACATGTCCAAACCTGTATTACGTTCTAAGATGGGGTTCCAAAAGCCAAATTACATTAATTGTTAGAGTTAAATTACAGTTTTTAACATGATGAAGTAATTTCTAACCACATTTGAAAAGTTTTCAGATTCAATTTTTGTAAACAGCTTCCTCAGCCAGAATACCCTGGAGGCTAAATACTGGTTCCACTGCAGGCTGCATAGCTGTTACCATTATTGTTCTCAGCTTAAACCTATACAATTACAAGTTTCAACAACAGGTTTAGGTGCATTCTCCTGAGTATAATGGAAGTACTTGGGAAATGTGGAAAACCAGTTTAAAAGAAGAAAGAGGAAGTCAGCAAAGAAGGTCTGTGAGGTAAACCTGGCAGAAATCCAACCCATTTAAATGTTCAGATCCCAAGAAAGTGTTAAAAATGCTATATCCTAAAAACTTCTGCGAGTAGGCTACTAAGACCTTTTAATAAAAGATGAGAGGCGACATGTTCTCTGCCAGCCTTGGTGGTGTAATAAGAGTACTCACAGAGATTCCTTTGGTCTGAGTATGTGTGCAGGAGCTGTGATGCAACAAAGAGTGATCCATTAATAACAGTCTAGGGCTCAGACATAGATTTGTCCAATTGCAATCAAAATGAGACTGCCTTGTCTCTCTCAGTGGGATCTGAAAAAAAGGGGCTAAAGGCAGAAGTCCCCAGACAGCAAATCCTCACAATCCTACCTCAGCCTTGCCTCCCACCCACTCTTTGTTTACCCACAGAGTGCTGATGGAGGGATAAAGGGCCAGAGATCTCAAGGTCTTTATAAACACAGGAGAGGGGTGGGGAGGGGTGCATTTATAGTATTGTCATGAGACAAGCTTTGATAAACACCAATTTGGCTCAGGGAAAGTTTCTCTGAGTATTTTCTGAGTTAACAGACCATCAAAATGAAATATATGGTATAAATGAACCTTATGAATCATGGATCTTTAATTATCTCCACTCACTGCCAATAAAGTAGGTTTAGTTAATAGCAACGAATAAGGAAGATGTAGTAATTTATCTTTATATGTGAGAGGAAACTTACTATGATCGTAATGTAACTAAGATGTTACTAATAATATTATTAATAATAGGAAAAACACCGCTGACACTTTCTGTTGGAGCGCTTCACCTTTTTTCTCGCGCAGCGACGAGTGGAGCTTTGATGTCTAAAACAACACAGTGATAAATAGTAAATAAACACATTTTACCTGGAAAACGCGCTCCCATCCAAGCGACTGGAAACGAGGATCCTTGTTTATAAAACAGCGTCGCAGAGAGGAGAGAAACCCGAGCAGCGAAGCGACTTTAGAGCAGTTTTTCACTTCCCAGAGCTGCTGTAGATCCTTTGATGGCTGAACGGTAAATAAAACAGCCTTTAGCTGCTGGATTGATTCGTTAACCTCTCCTGACAACTGACAGGTCGCTGTGAGCGAACCCACCGAGTCAACAGGTGAGTCTGAGCTGTGAAATCACGCGTGGGTAGGTGACGTCAGAGGCGGACATAGCCTGGTTAAACAAAAAGCGGAAACACTATTCATTTACGGGTTTTAAAACCAAGCCCCAACCTACTATAGATTGCACTTTAAATGTTCTGTTTTTTTATATATTGTACTGAAATAGGATATCTATTCTGGGAACTCGGTTTTGTCCATTTTGACTCACCCGGGCTCCCTTCCATTAATCTAAAATATTTCAGATTAAAGAACCTCATTGGGTTATTCTGTTTAAACATCCAAATCAGTCTGTATACTACGGAAGAGGATTAGGGCCACTGAAAAAAAAAAAAGTTAATTAATTTATAAATTTTATTTCAATTTAACATGGGAAAAAGGGTCAGAATTCTGACAATAAAAAAAAGTCAGAATTCTGAGATTAAAGTCAGAATTCTGACTATAATCTCTGAATTCTGACTTTTTTTTTCTCAGAATTCTGACTTTTTTCTCAGAATTCTGACTTTTTTCTCAGCATTCTGACTTTTTTCCTCAGCATTCTGACTTTTATCTCAGAATTCTGACTTTTTTCTCAGAATTTTGGATCTTAATACAGATGGGCACCGGGTGATACTATTTCCTTAATAGAAGAGCAGAAGGTCATTAAAAAAAGAGAGATAGTCTCTAAAACAGACATGGCTACGGCTTGATGCTAACATGTTAATTCAGTCAGAATTCTGAGATTAAAGTCAGAATTCTGATTAAAAAAATTCATAATTCTGAGAAAAAATTCTGAGATTAAAGTGACTTTAATCTCAGAATTCTGACTATTTTCCCCATATTTAACTGAAATAAAATGTGAAAATCTGTTAACCTTTTTTTATTTTTTCAGTGGCCCTAGTTCTCTTCTGTACAGTTAACTATTATATAATTGAAAAGTAATCCTGGTAATAAAAAAAAACATAAATAAATAAAACATAAATCCAACATAAAGTTTTGAAACTAGCACAGACAGACAGACAGACAGACAGACAGATAGATGATAGATAGATAGATAGATAGATAGATAGATAGATAGATAGATAGATAGATAGATAGATAGATAGATAGATAGATAGATAGATAGATAGATAGATAGATAGATAGATAGATAGATAGATAGATAGATAGATAGATAGATAGATAGATAGCCCTTCTTATAATTTCCAGCCAGCTCTGAAGTCTCCAACTTGAGTCCAAGTTTCAAAATCTTCCACAAATTGTTGAATGGACTTTGCTTTACAAGCCTGTTAAGGTCACACTTCTTTCTGTTGCTTGTACACCTTGTTGTAACAGCGTTTTTTACTGCACTTAACTTTCATATAATGTGCTTGGATTTAACATCCTACAAAACATTCATATTCTTTAGCAGTGGTCTTTTGTCACTCTCTGTGGAAGGGGACAGTGACCATCTGCTGGACAGTGTAATCAGCAGTTGCCCCATTTTCTTTATCGCCTCCTTGGGGGTAACCATGGGCAACAAGTTAATGTATATTAGTATAAAATGTTTTGGTCCATGTAGGATTCAAATTTTCTGAAAAACTGAATTTCCACAAACTGTCCGCTATAGCTACAGTCTAAAAAAATGCAGCTCCAACTTTAATGGATTGCTTCAATTGGTAACAAGTAATCAAACCAAGTTTGTCCAACTTAATTTATTGAGGTTTTCAACTTATAAACTAAATACATTTAGTTCGATTAACTTGATTCCATTACTTGTTGAAAATCTAAGTAAATAATAAAAGCTGGAGATGCATTTTCTTTTGAGAATGTAATAGCAGGTGACGGACTTGGCACCGCAAGACCACATAATGGGAAAAGAAATCCTCACAAAAGGCATAAACTGTAGAGGTATGAACAGTTAGGTCAAAAGACCTAAGTTTTCCATGTGACATTAAGTCTCCCTGCCTTACAGGTTTTATACAGAGCAACTGAGGATGCCGGAAACATAAAGATCCAGATTCAGAAAGGAACCTAAAAATCCTGTTCTGAAAAGTGAATCAACCAAAGTTTCCATTCTAGTGTACAGGCTTCTCTGGAAGCCCCCACAGGCAAAATCTGCTCTCTTCACTCTGAGCACTTTTATCACCCCCCACTGGCCTCTTTACGGCTTTTTCTCAATGGGCTGAGAGTGCAATAGATTCTTGCCACTGACATGTGGATGGCGTGAGAAAAAACTCGTGCTGCAGGTTCACTGTGGCATGGCTGCAGCAGGACTGAAAGGGTGCTGGCAGATGGGCAACACAGAGCTGGTGAAAGGACAGCTGGCACACTGCATCTCAAAAACAAAATAAGGTAGGAGCGCTTTAAATGGAAAGGAGTATAACTTTAGCCGGTGCGAAAAAAAATCTCACAGGCACCTTCTGTTTCAAAAATAATGATGGAGGTGTCTGTCAGCCAATACAAAGGGTTAATATAGCTGTTTGTCTCAAATTCTAAGACAGCTGTTGGGTGGTGCCTGTGTAGGTTTAAAGTATCTGCTTGCATGAGCTCAGGAAACACCCACCTACAATAACCTTTTCTCCTGCATACTTTTTATTTTATTGTTAAAATGAGTGTTTCGAAGCCAAAAATCAATGACAGTTCACATTCAGGCACAATATAAGTATGAATTTATTAAAATTTAAATCATATCATTCATAAATAATTGTACACAAGAATTGTTTGTCGTTTAAAAAGGCACTCAATAAGCTTATGGTTGGCATATAGTCCATTGGAATTTTTGTAAAGGAAAAGAGGCTCTAAAATGGTGCAAACAAAGACAAGTTCCTGACTGAATGCAAATAGTGTAGATTTATTTTCCTGCTATGCAAAAAGGTGCTGGCTATTAACAGTCCGCATATGGAGAATGGGTATGTGTTTCAGCAGACATGTTAATATGCAGAATAATAATAATCCAAATCTCAATGAAGCACAAATGGTTCAGTTTTCCATCAGAGAAACACCATCTATCGTTCAAGAACACTACTACACTAACATCTTTAAAGACATACAAAACATCTAGTGTTTTCCCCACAATTATACAGATTGTTCTTTTATTTACAATATATTTTATGGCAGTTTTTTCTTTATAAACAATTAAAAAACAGCTTTAATAGATGCAGTAGTAATGGCATCTACAGTATAAACCTCTGCAGATAAAATCGAACAAATGAATGAAGTATGATCAGCATTGGTGAAAGCGAAAGTCAACGTTGAGCACTTTGTCACTAGATTTATTAGAATGCTTTGCTCTGCCCATCCGTCCTTAGACATCATGCAATCCACAAACCAGGTTAGCAGGCACTGCGACGTCTGAAAAGGAACAAGAAAATGTGCTTTTAAAAGTCAGGGTTTATAATTTTAGTCAACCCTCATAATATCACATAAAAAAACCAACCACCTCTAATAATAAAAAGCTTCACCATTATAGTGCTGAATAAGAAATGTCTTTTTTAAATTTTTTATTCATTGAGTATAATTGTTAAAAAAAAGATGGTTCTCAAACTTACCAGGGCTACAGAGTGATAATAATGATTTTCTTGTCTTTATGTGTATATGTTTAAGCAACTGCTTGGTGTCTTAAGACTCATACACTTCATGAAATTCCTTTGAATAGGTGTGAATGTAATCTCTTTATGAGCAAAATGTATGTCAATGTTTTTACCAGTGTTAACTGTCACAATTTACCTGATGGTTTGCTCATAATTGACAAGATAATAATGCTGTTTTTACTTTAAGCAGTTTATAGAATTAAATCAGGGCAACAGATCAACTGAGAAAACCTCTTTCAAAGCTTTACAGTAACATTTAGGTATGTATTCCCTGCCCTGAATAATAATTTTTGACGTTCTTTGGGTAAAAGAGAGAAAAAATATTAGTTGAATTGGGATTAGACTGTTTAAAAAATAATAACATATATTTGCTACATCTCTAACACATCGCCTTTGTGACTCTTTTCACCTCCAAACATTAATAATGTTGTGGCTGATCAGGGTCTAACTCTCAGATATGCTGCTAGCTTAATAACTGTTTAGGTACCAATTTTCTTGGGGTTTGGGAGATTCAGGTTGTCCATGATTTTCACAAACTCCTCCAGGTTCTTGGTTAGACGGGGGTTGTGCTTGCGTTCCTCACCGACTGTAGTAGCTGTCTGGCCTAATAAACACAAACACAGAAAGTTTATTACAAAAAAATTAAAACATACACCCTAAAAACACTATATAGCATTTTAATAAAAACACTGTAATGACTCCAATTATAACAAATGAGCCTATAATTAGGAGTCAAAACTTTTTTTTTCAGTGTGTGAAACAGGATTAAATCTTAAGAAAATAAGAAAAAATTACAGTATAAGGGTTTAAACCAACCTTTGTAGTCATGAGCTGGGTAAAGGAGGCAGTCCTCAGGCAGAGTGAAGATCCTCTCATGGACTGACTGGTAAAGCCTTTTAGGAGAACCTAAAATGAGCAAAAGGGGCCGCGATCAAACTCTTTATTCAAAGCATTGTTTAAGATAATTCAACCTATGCATCCAAAACTGTTTGAGAAGGTTTATTTTATATTCAACACTGAAGTGTATTTTATGTAATGCTGCCCTCATGTGTCCCTTGTGTTTATTACACTTCTCAGAACTTCCCAGAGGGAGGTGAAGAACATGAGCCTACCCTGCTGGAAGTCTGTTCTGCCACAGCCTCTGATGAGCAGAGCGTCCCCAGTGAAAGCCATGCTCTCATCATTTAACACCAGGGTTACACACCCGTTAGTGTGTCCTGGTGTCTCTCTCACGGTCAGATGCTGAATTTCAAATAAAAAACAAAAATTAAAAAAATTAGCGGGACATGCTTTTAGCTCAGTTCTCTCTTATCTCACTATTTTAGACAAGCGGTCTCACTATTCACCATGCATTTGAAACTAAATATACTGACTAAAATCCTTTAACACAACAAGGAAACACAAAATAAATAGAAAAAAAAAAGTGGCCTTACATGTTTTCCAAAGGTGATCTTTTCCCCATCTGACAGCTGAATGTCTGCTTTGGCACCGCTGTGTTTAGAGATGGCGCTCTGCAGCCCCGCAATTTTTTTCTTCATCAACCCAGTGCTGGTTATGTGGTCCGCATGGCAGTGGGTGTTCACTACCATAGAAACAGCAAGACATACAGCGGCCTCTGTTATGTTCTGTTATTAGAAATAATTTATTACCAATAAACAAAAGTGGCATACTTTATTACTTTATTGAGGAAGAAAGGTCTAACAGGCTGATTTTTAATGACTATTAGATGCTGATAATCATCTTTGTGGAGAAACATTTACCTTAGCCTATAACCAACTGGATCATCTACTTTATTGGTTTTCCAAAAGTGATGATTGACTTTATCAAAGAATTATTACCATGTGATTAATTGATGTTATAAAATGAAATATAATTTTAAAAATCATGATTCCAACCCTAAACTTCTACACCCTACTTTAATGAACAGTGTTTTACAGCTGATTGATCCTTAAAGGTATAGTGGAGAATCTTCTATTTCCCAGTGGATCATCAAAATAGGTGGTCCTGCTAACTGTCAACATTCTGATGATATGTTTACATGAGGCCGTACTCGTCCCCATTTTCACTTTCTGGTGCTGAGTCTGACATAGTGGAAAATTGAAAATCTTCTTTTGGAAAGTAAGCTTGTATGAACGATGCAGCAACTCTTTAATAGTGCGTTGTGCATGTGCATTTTTTTATTTTAAAGTGGAGAGGGCGGGTCTTTTCAAAAATTTGCAAAGATCCTTCACTATACCTTTTAAGTAACTGCAGCGCTGCTCCTCCACTACATGTTGCTATATGCTAGAAAACAGCTCTGTTGCTTATGGGAAAGATTTCAGGTTTTATGTATAACAGTGATCCTTGATGTGGAAAATGTAGATAAAAGAAATCAAAAAATGGAATGTCAAATAATAGAAAACAGATACGGGGCCGTTTCTGAAGTCATGCCAGGACATAAATCAGAATTCTGTCAGGTTTGCGTGATAGGGATGTAAATCACCAGCCGCTAAAAGATAAGGGATTGTATTGTTTGGATGGTGATATGATGTCTGATATGATTTTCAATCAAGTTACAAGTCTGCCACCGATATCTCATGTCCATCCAACACAATCAATTATATCTAGATCAAAGCTAACTGGATGAACAAAGCAAAACAGCATTATTAAAAAAATAGATCACCTGTTAACATTAAGACAGTAACGATGGAGCTAACATATCCTAAAGATGATGATGTGGATACATTCGATTAATAATAAAGTCAATGTATCCATATCTATATCTCCATAAATACCTGCAACTTTTAGATTGAGTCCGAGCTCCTGCACAAGTTTCACATCTCTGTCGAGGGTTTCCAGCACAGGATCGATAATGACTGCTTCTTTGGAGGCTTTGTCTGCAAGCAGGTAGGTGTAGGTGCAGCTCTGTGACTCAAACAGCTAAACAGGAAAAACAGGAGTGCCATATCAGCAGTCAGCATCATGCAGCTAAGGTACATCATGTTTTCTCCACATCATTAAATGGCAATGTTTTTTTTTAAACAGAGACAATAAGAAAACTTAACAATCAGGAAGAAAGTAACCAAAGAAACCAAAGTGTACGCTTTTAAGTTATGTTTCTGTATTGGTACTCTGTTTTACTACTTAAACTATTTGTGCCAACTCTTTACTTATTTGTAATCAGTATTACTTATTTGTAATAAGTAAAGAGCATATAAGTAGAAATTTAAAAGGAGCATATATGCAGAAATTTAAAAATGAAATCACCGATATGTTTTCAGATGCAACCGCTATTACAGTATAAAGATGAGCAGCTCATTCATTCATGTTGGGCTCATGAGTTTTAACTAGAAAACCCTGCAGCTGTGTCAGCTGCAATGTCATTGTGATGGAGCGAAAACAGTAAACAGAGCAGAACATTTTTATAAGGGTGGCCAGGTAATAACCGATGTACACTGAGGGGTGGCCGAAAGTGGATAGGCGCCAGAACCTCAGGGTCAATCTACAGTACACCAGGCGTCCCCAAAGTCAGTCCTAAATAAAGACAAACTGTACTTTCCTACAACTTTCGCTACCAAATAGACACATATATTTAAACATCCGTGCTTTCTAGATAAAAGGTATAGTGGATAAAATTCTTTCAGGTTTGAGTTCTGGGTCAAACATCTCTTCCTTTGTCATTACTTACCTACTTTTACTTTTATCAACAATTATTCTGCATAAAATTGATATTTACAAGTACTAATATACACATTAATTGATTGTTTTAATAAAAACAGTTATTTATCTATGATTTCACTGAAGACTCCTAGACATTCAGAGACATAATTTTCTCTTTACCCCATAAAACACAATATCTAGTTCTGAAAAGAGCAGGAATTATCATCTTTAATGTTAGCATATTGATGTGCATAATTAACCACATTGTTTTTGTTGTCAAGTAATTGTTAATATCTGAAATAGGGCTGGGAATTTTCGCCAAAGTCCTGAATCGATTCGATTTTGTTTAATACAGTTCTAAATCGATTAATTTCAAGTCGATCTGTTTTTACAATAATGAAAGTGGTTCAACGGTGTTGCAAAATACTCGTGTATTTTAATTTTTCCTGTCACATTAAACACAAAGTGCAAACTTGTAAATCAGACAGTTTAAACTTGAGATGTGAACAAAACTGTCTCATAGGTGCAAACTTATTTGTGAAAAGAAAAGCCTCACTTGAGCAAGCAGACGTGACACAGCAGACATGCATAAGCTTGCATTATCTCCACTGCACCATATTTGCAGCGTTGTCTGTAACAATTACAGGGTGTTTGCTGGTCAGCCCCCATTTGTTAATGTCTTGAGTGCATGTTTTCCTGCTCATTTAAATGTTAACTTCACTCACTATAAAATTAATCAATCTCATTACCTAGACATCGATTTTGCAAAAATGTAAAGGAATCGATTCAAAATCAGTTCAATCGATTTTTTTACCCAGTTCTATCTGAAAGATTAAAATGTTTTGAATATTCCAATTGAGAGTATTAATGCTGCCACCGTCTGTATTACAGGTAAAGGGTGGCCATGGACACCCCTGGCCCCCCACCTAGCTCCGCCCCTGGGGTTTTATTATGGCTATTTGTGTAATAGCCATAATTAAACCCCGGTTTTATTTTGGCTATTACACAAATCATATGTGTGCTAACGCAGTAAAGAGTGTTTAGAGAAAGAAGCTGTCCCGATATCAAACCTAATCAAAACAAACAATATTAAAAGGTTTTTGTAGTACTTACAGTAGCATGTTACCGGCTAAATACGACTTCCGGCTAAATATAACCGACTGTAAACCATTATGTGACATTATTCATTCCCTAGAAAACAAAGTAAATGTTCACATACTTGTCTAAAGATCGGTGCCTCTGACTTTGCCATCTTGGAGCAGCTCAACCTCAGCAGTCGTCGCTATGAACAGCAAAACCCTCAGCAATTTCGGAACCAATAACTGAAGCCGGGTGTGGTTGTTCCGCTCACATATAGCCGCTAAGCCACGCCCACCTCTAGCGTCACGAAGTACTCTGATCTATGTGATCTTCAAAGGCTAAACACATGCCTTAAAACTGCTTGGTCATTATTACTCTCCTTTTGTTCTTTGCGAAATATGTTGTTTTATTAATCTCTATGGTTGTAAAGGCAGCTGTTATTGATTAGAAGCTGTTAAGAAATATATCAAATAATAGTTGGACAGTTTAATTACACATCACTAATATTGATTTTTTTTTTAAAGCACGGCAGATATGTAGTATTTGATTGCACTATTGTTCTTGATAAAGTGCATTTACCCCCTTAGATCGCTCTTAACACCTTCGAAAAAATATAGTCAATCGTATGATTAAAAATAACCAGAACATTGCAGTCTGTCTGGGAAAAGACAGTGGATAAATGTACAAAGGAAGGCAAGTTTAGGACACATGTGATGCCATCAGCAGACTGACTTGCAACCAGAACATTTGTTTGGATGCAAAGTTTTTCCCCCGAAATACTATTTTTTTAATGAATGCATAAAATTGCCTTTCATTATGGCAAGGCAAGGCAAATTTATTTGTATAGCATAATTCAGTACAAAAACAATGCAAAGTGTTTTACATGATTAAAATATAGGAAAATAAAACAGAATCAAAGCAAGTAGGGGAAAAAATTATGGAATTTGGCAAGAAAGAAAGAGAATTATGCAAAATACATCATTCTTTATTTGGAGGAAGATTTTCAGTCAGCTGTTGCATAATGTGCTTTAGAGAGATAAAGCAAAATGACAAACACTGAACCTCTATAGACTTTCACTTTAATTAAAACAAGAAAATAGATAAAACAAACATCTATGTTGATAAAAGGATGATGAATTGATACCCAGTAGCTCAAGGTAAAGGGTTTTTGTTGCTTTGTATTTGAGACAGTGTCATGACGATTAAATGGAATTCTATTCTATTATATTTACCTACCTAATGTAGTTAAAACAGAGAAAATTTAAAGTAGTTTAATCAAATCTGAGAATGTTGTAACGGTTGAAAAACATGGTGGTAGTAGAATCATGCTTCAAGGTTCCAGTTGTACTGGAAGGCTGACCAAAGTGGCTAGACTAATGAATAAGAGTGTAAACTTAGATTCAACTTGGCTGCTACTGAAAGGCAAGATTGTAAAATGTTTTGACCATCTAGGCTGCTTCAGCAAGATACTGATCTCGAACAAAAATCAAAACTGTGTTAGAAACTTCTAAGGCAGAGTAACAGTATGCCTCTGGAAGAGCTCAGAGCCCAACTCTTTCAAACATGACTGTGATACAGCATGTTTAAAGTTTGTGATGCCTGGAATCTAAATTTAAATGACTTCAACCTTATTTGCTGATCGAAGTGTTTAACTATCAAATAAAAATATTTTAGAAGATATTTAAAGCTGCAAAAATAACATGTAAATCTTATTTTTAGTAAAAATAATGGTAGAAATGCCTTCTATCGTTTTATTTCAAATACTGCAAGTGATTCTGACTGAAGGTTGTTTAATTAGCATATATGCCTTTTGAACCTTGAGTGATTCAAATACTGGAATATTTATGATATCAGTATATCACTGTAAAAGGGTATTCTTAATTTCTACCATTATCAATTAAGTTTTCCTATTGTCAGTACCACGTTTGTTTATTGCAATTACAACAACTGAGATTTTGGTTTCATTTGAACATGTTTTATTTTGATACTGGCCTCTGAAACTATCAAACAGTTTACAATTAAAGGAAATGAAAGCAGAACAGTTAAAATGTGAAAAAGAATCCAGCATCCCCACAGTTACCGTAAATGTCATTGGCCTTCTTTTCTAAATCCAGCTATATGACAGAAATGTAACTAGATAAATTTCTATAGAAAAGCCAAGGCCATTAGAGGGTTTCGTACATCCGTTTGTAATAAACACAATCCTTAAAAGTTTTGGATGGGACGGGTAGCAGTTTGGCTGATCATATAACACATATTATTAAAGAAAGAGTCAAGCATCATTTAATAGGCAAAACAGAAGTTCCAGATGCAGGAAGGCGATAAGAACACTTAACTGAAAATGTAAATTGTTTATTACTTTTATTACCCTACAGCTGCACAGAGTAAATAAAACACACTTTTAACTCAAGACACACACAAAAACTGTTATGTCTGTATAGACCAAATCAATAATTAAATCTAACCACATTTTTAAGCATTTTAAGCACACTTAGAGTTACATAAGTGGCTGCAAAAAACATAACATGCACCTTATGGTAAGCTGTTGCAGCCAAGTTTGCTAAAACAAACATTTAAATCTGAACCATTCTGTGGTTAAGTCGCTGATTTTATAAACGCGTTCTTCTCTCTAAGGCATTCAGAGTCCATGTAGTCCACATACTAGATTAGCAGGCACCGAAATATCTGCAAAGAAAGCAGAAGAGGACCAGGTAAAGATGTGAGGTGAAGAGTTGCACTTTTTATTTGTACAAGACCCTGTTATTAACACACAGGTGATAGTCTAACTGTTAAATAAGATGATTCAGGTACCTATTTTGTCTGGTTTTGGGAGATTCAAGCTGTTCATAATATCCACAAATTCATCCTTGGACTTTGTCAGGCGAGGGTTAAACTTGCGTTCTTCACCAACTGTGGAAACGGTCTGACCTGGATCATAAAAAAACATACAGTTCGGTGTGATCTTAGTGGAACAGGCTCAAATTAGAACTGCACAGATCAAGCATTACAAATACTAGGGTTTAAAATATATAAAAAAAAAAACATTTAAAAATGTTAAAATATTAGATTTGAAAACTTGACCTACATTTTATTGATCAGTTAAACACATTTTTATTATAAGTCTTTTTTCTGTTGATTTTGTCAAAAAACAACTTAAAGATAAAAAGAAAAAAAAAATGATTTCAGTTTCTCAGAGCAGACTGTTGGGGAACTTACTTCTCCAACAATTTTTCCTTTTACTCAACTTCCATTTACATGCTTGAACACAGCACTTAGCAATTTGGGGATTTTAACCAAATGTATCATCCCTTTCAATGCCATCATAAAACAATTCTAGAAAAAAAAAGGTATTGGAAATGAAAAACATTCCAAGATTATATATGTATCTAAATATATCCTAATTAATTTTTCATTTAACATAATAATAAACACCGCACATGTGTTTTAAAACTAACTAACCTATATAGTCGTGTGCTGGGTATACGAGGCAGTCATCAGGCAGTGTGAAGATCTTGTCGTGAACTGAATCATAAAGGCATTTTGCACAACCTGCAATATAGAATTAAAAAATGGCAAAAATATTTATAATATATCAGAAATATAAACAAATATTTTCCAATATTTTATGTTCAAGTTTTCACAAATAACACACAATAATAATATTTACAAAGATTACAAAAATAAAAGCTCAGCACTGAACCGTTTTTATTCAAATACATTATATGAAGAAAAGATTTTAGTCTCTTTTCCCAGCAAAATGTCCTAATAAATACTCATGGTTCATTAAAAGGCTGCTTCAAAACTTCCAAAGAAGATGAAATAACTTGATTCAGGTGGTTTAGTAACACAGGACGTTATGCCCGAGGACTAAGATTGGGAAACTCAGTGTATGCAGTGATAGTTCCATTAAGAACAAGGAAGTGTCATGACATGAACCTACCCTGCTGGAAGTCTGTTCTGCCGCAGCCTCGGATGAGCAGAGCGTCTCCAGTGAAAGCCATGCTCTCATCTCCTGATACAAGAGTTGTGCACCCATCTGTGTGTCCTGGTGTTTCTTTCACAATAAGGTACTAGAAAGAAGAGAAACCATTCAACACCAAGCATGTTAAAATGAAATATTTCAAATTTTATGGCAACAGGCACAATAAAAAGGTCGAACAACAAAATTTAATAATGACAAGCTAAAATCTAGAATCAGTGGGACAGGGAGATAAAATGGTTGTAAAAAGTTTTAGAGCCTTATTACATGTTTTCCAAAGGGGATCCGGTCGCCTTCCGACAGCAGGATATCTGCAGAGGCGCCGCTGTGTTTAGAGATGGCACTCTTCAATCCTGCAATTTTTTTCTTCATCAACCCAGAGCTCGTTATGTGGTCTGCATGGCAGTGGGTGTTTACTACCACGAAAAAAAGAAAAGAAAAATGAAATGAAATACAGGTTAACATATAGCATTAGGTAGGTTTCGGTTATTCCATCTTTTGTATTTCACTAGAATTCTTTTGATAAGAAATTATGTCTCCCACAGTATGATTAATCCAGATTAAGCTACAAACCTATACCCACCTGGGGGACATTTCCCAGCCCCTTTGACAATGTAGAATTGTAAATAACTTGCAATAAAAATCTCACCGGGGTGGCAAGGTGTCTAGGTTTGTAGCACTGTTACCTTGAAGCAAGAAGGCCCTGTGATTGAATGCCATCTAGTTATTTCCTGCATGGAGTTTGCATGTTCTAGCCATGCATGAATGCATGAATTCTGTTGTTCTCGCTCATTAATAGTCTAGAATTGTGACTGTGAAGTTGAATCCACCTTGATTGGCATGTTAATTACCCTTAAGTGTTACGGTAGAGTTAGTGGTAGAAGATTGATGGAATATTCTTAGTCTACACTATAAGAATATGATCATGACTCACAGCACTGGCATGTTATCACTTGTAGTTTTATTGAGGTTTTAAAAAGTTACAGGTATACTAAATCTTTCATTCAGCATTCCTACAGCCTGCCACAATAAATCAGTCAATTGCATGATAAATGTGCACAAGCTCAATACTTGTTGCTTGTTTGTTTCCTTGCGTCTACCTCTTCTTTTACTATAAAGACTGGATGACAAAATGTTTTACTCTGTCTCAACTAACCCCTCCCCTTTCTCCCAATTTCTTAAGCCACTTTCACTAAGAAAACCTGAGTTTTTCCCGAACCGGGTTGACCCACTATCAACCGGCTTTTGGCCTTTTTCCGATTTGACTGAAAAGTTGAGTCTGACACCCTTCTCCCATTGCACTGCGTTGGGTGAGCGTTGATGATGTCGACAGTGGATGGGAGCCAGAGCATAGTTAGTATTCTTTGTTTCAGTCTTTTATCCTACCGAATCCCTCTTACCAGTGCTGCACCATATTTATCGAATGTAAACAGAGCTGTTTCGGCTTGTTAGATCAGTAATAACTGGCGCGGTGTGTTAAAGTAGTTATACGTTGCGTTCAACTGAGTCACATAAGTTAGCAGGTCAGCTTAGGTCTGGTGTTCCCACTGCATTCCGATCAGAGCCGAGGCGACTTTAACACAGGCCGCTTGACCTGGGTAGACACACGTCAGTGAGCTGTTCCCACTGCCATTAAAAGCCGATTGCTCCCAGATTTTCTGTTTTTTCGGCCAGTGTGATATGGGGTATTATTGTTTGGAGGAATGAACAAAAATTCCAGGGGAGGGTGTGGTCTTCCAGGGGGTGTGTTTGATTTCAACGGCTGCGGCCTCTAAGGACCCGGTCTATCTAGACGGGTCCTTCAAGGTCCATAAAAATAAGAAGGCTGGAAGAGTTTTGGCTATGGATTTAAACATATCCACCCTTCTGTGGCTTCCTAGGCCCGTATGCTTTGTCACCAGCAACTGTGACAGTTGACACACAAAGCAGGCAAACTGGATGCCAAAATTCTCCCATTGTTCTGTGTGCTAATTTAACTTTCAAGGAGCTTCAGCAGCAGTACCATTGTTGTGAATAACTGTCTTGTAGTCCCCACACTGCAGAGATATTGGAACTATTCACATACTTCTATCATATTAAACTACACTTACAATATTCACCATGGCTCGGTGCCATTTCCCTTATTCCTCTGAGCATGGAGCAGCTGGTCTGCTTTGACTAGTAATGAATCATGGAATAACCAAGGCTACGTGGGATACACCGGACCTGCTCTTCAAAACCGGCAAAAAGAAGGCTGCATTTGTCAGCTGCATAACAAGGAGTCTTCCCATCCGAACAGGCCTTGGTGCCGTGCTAAGTCGTAATCGGCAGACGAATCTTGCCTTCGGAGGACGCAGCTGCTGAATTCGAACTAAACAAATGTCTCTGTATGTTCCTCAGAATGAGGGCAGCTGCAGTGTCCTCGCTCTGCGGAACATATCGAGAGAACCATCACCAAGGATTGGCCGAGAGACCCGTGACCAGGTTGCTAGTCCTTAGTAGCAGTCACTGAAAAAACGCAGAAATTGAAATGGTTTCAGGGCAAGCCAGTATGTAGAATTTGTTATGGAACAACTAAACCCTAATTATCAAATACCGATTTCCAAGCTGAGAAATATTTTTTTAAAATACGACAGATGGGAACATCTCTATCGTCCCATTAATTCATGCTTATAAGATGCTGAATCAACAAAAAAATACAAAAAGGGGATCCAAAATGGTGCATACTCACAGACTGTGCATTTCACTTACCCTCTACATAGATGCTGACCTCTAACACCATTGAATATTGCAGATATTTTGAAAACTGTTGCAAAGATCAAATACCCACCCAAAAAAATTGCCTGGAAAAAATTACCTTCCCAGGTATATGTGGCCAATTGAGGCACCTGCTCTTATTTAAACAAAGCGCATTTGTTGGTAACTTTCAGTTTTTTTTTGGCTATAAAACCACCCCTTTTCTGTTTTCAATGTCTGAGCCTAATGATTCATATTTTAAGGGTCAATATAGTCTACAGAAAATACCCAACGTATTTTATTTATTTTTTGTCATTTCCAAGAAATTGTTTTCGAATTTGTCTGATTTTTATTCAAGGGCTTGTTTTGTTACACAGGCTCAGAGTCCATTTCTTCAACAGTTTCTGGTATTTTAAGAGTTAATACTTGCTTGATAATGACATTATAATTAGTTTAAAATGGTCTCCAAACAACGATATTATCGTTTATCTCAATAGGTTTTAGGACAATTTATTATCCAGCAATACTGGTTATCGTGGCAGGCCTATAGTTCAAAGTTCCTTTATTAAGACAAAAGAGAAAGTACCAGGTAAATAGAACAAAAGTTGCCTCTACATGACTCGTTCCTGTACACTGCCTGTCAGCTGGCTGAAAGAAGTCTGCTTCACTTGCAAGAAATACAAAGTTCTCTTTTAAATATACTATTCATGCCACCAACAAAATGGACAGTCCTGATGTGGAAGCAAAGAGAACCCCATCCCTCTTTATCATTAAGATAAGGCTGTTGTAAAATCATGGGTGGCGTGTCTATTAGGCTGCTGACTACAGGATAATTCCCTAAAAAGATAGCACAACTGATTATCCAGCTTGTGTCAGCTTGTTATACTCCTGTTGCTAAACCCTGTGAGATCTTAATAGATTCTACATAACTTTCATATCACATATTATAAAGGGCATTAATGGAGTCTATTTAACATTTCAAATTTCTGTTTAATGATGTTGAACTTATCCACATAGGCAAGTTTACTGGATGCTGTGGAAATGTCACATAACTACTGCTCAGAACGTTGGTCAGAGACCAACCAGTTGAGAACCAGCCTGATAAAACACGTTTAAACCATCTATAAAACTCTGCTTTATTGACACTAAGATGTGCAAACATTACCTTTATCAGTTTGTGTTTCCAGTCCTGATCTTAATTTCATGTCAAGCTGCTTCCGTTTCTACCGTCCTCTCATCTAAAAATAGGTTTCAATGTTAAATATTTTAATTACATGGTAAATGTAGGACCCATTTACCTTATTTTTTCTGTATTTATCTACACCTAGGGGTGCATCTCCTTTTGTGTTTTGATTATGTTGGAAGGAGGAAGTGTCATTCTATTCAGGTGTAAATGAGAAGAGGCAAACAGTTTTCTACTGTGCTTAGAAGTTATGTGGGTTTATTTTGTTCAAAATGGAAATGGAAAGACAATGGACATACAAAAATAAAATGGCTTTAAGAATAACTCCAAAGAAGGCTGACATATTCTTGATTGAGCTAATGTAAGGCCAAAGCATACCAGGAAGGAAAGCAACCAGTGGCCTAAAATATAAGATTTTAGCTGCTACAGTAGTGTTTCTCTTTGGTAGCATATCATTTAATGCAAAATTAGTACTCCTATTAAGTCTATATTAATAATAATAATAATAATAATGGCCTAAAAATTACAGGTAGTAATAATACAAATAAGTTTGACAGAGCAATTCATAGGTTTTTTGTTAAGGGTTTTCAATAAATATTTTTCATTATGTTATCAAGGTTTACTTGCAAGGGACCACTTGCTAGTTTTCTGCAAGGTTATCATACTATCATAATCTCTGACTGAAACATAGCCATGTGACTGCAATACATAATATCTTCAGGGAGTTATTTGATTTGATCATGAGGCAGAATCCTTCATATTTAATAAGAGTTTGCAGGCTGGGAATGGGAATCATGATTCCGGAAAACGTTCTTAATCGCTGTAAAAGTAATCCATCTGCCTAAAACAAAATTAATGGAAAAACGGTTTCAGTTTTGAGTAAATAATGTATCTTTAAGGTATGTCTAGGGCTGAAACAATTAATCGGATTAATTGTGATTAATCAATTATGGAAAAAAGCTACAACTAATTTAGTAATCGATTAATCTGTAACTGGAGTAGAGACTCTAAAATATGCCTTTAGCTGAAAGAGCAACCCACTTAGAGCAGTCATCATATCAAAATTGTAAAAAAAAAATACATATTTTGCATTTAAGATAGAATATTAGAATATTTATTCATTTGTCAATATACTCTATCCAGAACTCCCCCACTGGAAAGGTTTCAGTTTATGTTTAAATCTGTAAAAACTCTTCTTTAAGTCTTTTTCTAAGAATGATCAACAAACTAATTGATTAGAAAAATGATCTTGAGCTGCAGCCCTAGGTATGTTAAATAAATACATGGCACTGGAGCATGTTTATGATTAGATATCCATCTAATTCTTGAAAATACTTGACTCAAAATGAAAGAAAACATTTTTAGTTTGCTGGTACAAAAGTTGTTTGTTTAGAGGTAGGAAAATTGGCATTAACTGTCAAAGTAGTGAACCTGATGTATTGTGTCATCTTCTGTGTGGATTGTGGAGATAACCAAAGTGACAGCACAATCATGAAGAGTGATTCAGATTGCAAATCCAGAAAAAAAATAGTGGGAATGAGCATTAATTTTTTTCAGCTTAGCTGAAAAAAGTCACTCAAAGATACCTGCAAAAATCAGATTGAGCCCCAGCTCCTTCACCAGGATTAGATCCCTGTCCATTGTCTCCAGCACAGGATCAATAATAATGGCCTCTTTGGTGTTGGTGTCTGCCAGCAGGTAGGTGTAGGTGCAGCTCTCCACCTCAAATAGCTAAAGAGGGAAAACACGTGAGAAGAGGCGTTGCTTTGCTATGACAGTAAATATAGGTCAAGTTCTTCACGTTCTGCTCGTGTTCATAAGAGAAAGTAAGTGGAGATGCAAAAGCAATCTGTGCCCAAACATAACTGACAACAAAAGAAAAGTTAAAACTAAGATATTCTGTCAATTACAGTAAGCAGGAAAATGTATTAATATATTGAATTTTTTTTAAACCCATAAAATAAACTGCAACCTCATGATGATGAGGGCATATGATGGTTCTAAACATATAGATCTACAGCCTAGCTTAGCTCTGTTTGAACATTAGGCTAACAATATAAACACAAATGCTAGCAGTAATGCCTCTATTTACTGCAGCTTTTATCTTACAACCATGAAGGTTAAACATTTTCAGAACTCTCCCCCTTTGATAGAATGACAGAAGCTAACATAATTTGGACCTACTTGTCTGAACAGCAGTCCTTCGGTCTTCGCCGCCCTGGAGCAGTAAAACCTGCCGTTAGCCGCGGCAGAGCTCACGCCGGGGGAGAAACGCTTCCTCTGGGTCGCCACATAACTCGAGCCCTCGGTGTTGGCTCCGAGTCGAAGAGTCAAGGCTACAGCCCGGTGAATGGGTCTTACCCTTGTTAATACAGAGCACATTTTAGGTCCGAACTAACAGCGATGTTCGACCGGATTGGAAGTGGAACCTAAAAACCTTGAGCTTCCTAAAGAGTTTCTGCTCACACAGGTCTCATCCGGTCCTTTCCTGTCTGCTCTGATCTCTACTATACACAGAATTTAGATCTTTAAACAACAAAATCCGGGATTTTCCGCTTAGATCCAGATACTTCCTTTCAACCGGTGTGATGTTCTGAAACTGGGCCAAATCTGTCAGCTGTCGCGCGCAACCGCTTCCCAGGCGCGCTCACAAGTGACGTAGACACAACCGACTGTCGCGTACGTGACAAATGTATCATAACTGTTTCGTGCAAACGAAACGAAACCTGTTTTGTTTGTGATGAATGTGCCAACTCATTCATATAATTACACAAGCACGTACGCAGACCCACGTATATTTATATACTGCCAAAGTCATTTAGGGACTCACCTTACAGTTTTTAAAGCTTAAATACACTCATTTGAGTTATTGCTATATTATTATTTATCAAAGACATAGCAGAAACCTAAGATTTATAGGTAGAGTTGCCTGATGTTTACAAAAAAGAGAGATTAAACCTAGGCATGTGGATATATATATATATATATATATATATATATATATATATATATATCTGTTGACACTCATTGATTTTCAGTCATTTTCGACACTGCCTAACCCTAAAACTAACCCTAAACCTAACCATTACTAATCCATACCTCACATTAACCCAATTGACACCTTAGCCCTTAACCTAACCATTAGCAAAATACCTTATGAAGACCAGAAATATGTCCTCACTTTACAAAAACTGGCCCTCATTGTGATAGTGAAATATAACTTCTATTTTATCTGCATTCAGGAGCAGAAAGTTAAGAGTCCTCCAGGTTTTGTGTTCAAGACATGCCTGTAGTCTATGTAATGGGTTAGGGTCATCTGGATTATAGACAGATATAGCTAAGTATCATCAGCATAACAGTAGAAATTAATCTCATAGCTGTCTAATAATTCTACTGATTGGGAGCATATATATAGTAAACAGAATTGGTCCTAGCACTGATCCCTGTGGTACTCCACAGGTAACCCTTGAGCATGAGGAAGATTTGTCATTAACGTGAAGAAACTAAAATCAATCAGATAGATAAGATTTAAACCAGTCTAGTGCTGTTCTTTTAATCTATCTTTCAATCCTTATGTCATTTTGTTTGTATTGTGTGCTCTTGTCTGTTTGTGGGATAAATAAAGGATAACTCATGTTTCTGAGTGGATTCCAGTAACATATGACATATAATATCTACTTTGAAAGTTAATATGACTCTTATCTACCTAGATATTCTCTTTGGTCTGAAACGCCTCTGTCAGGTCGAGGGTCTGTCGGGGCAATAAGTGAAGTTTCGACTACGGTACTCTGTTTCTGTAGATCTACGTTTTCTTGCTCATGTTTTTCATGTGCTTATATAAACTTTTTGTGTTTCCACTGCATTTAACCAGCTTTTTACAAGCCTTATAGCTTGCCATTGTTTCATTTACAGCATTAACATATAATCTTTTTCAGCTCTGGTGTCTGAGGAGCAGCAAGTGGAGAGAGAACTGAGTGGGCGGGCCAGGCTGGTGAGAGGAGAGGGGGGAGCAGCAAAGTGCTGTGACACAGACAGGGTGACTGGTGAATCTGCTGCAGTTAGTGCGTGCGGGAGAAGTATAAAAAAGTATATATTATGTTAAAAAAAATATTGTTCAATATCAATACCAGCCTTGGAATCGTTACTATCAATCCTAGGATCGATCCGCCCACCTCTAAGGGAAAACAAGACTCTAGGCAGAGCAACCTAAGAGCCTCTTTGACCGAAGAGCCCTTTTAAAGCTACTTGTTCAATAAAAATTTTCATTTGTGTAATATTCAGTTTACTTTCAAACCAGTGGGCTTCAATCAGACTGTAATTTTGAATATAAATTTATGCTACAGAAATTAGAGTTCCTTTTACAGCAACTAAAGCCCCCGTCACACTTTGACGCTTTAGCCAGTCTTCTAAAACACTGGCATATGCTGAACTTTCTATGTATTTTTTTCAATTTTGGGTGTATGCATAGAGTATTCATAACGAGTCCAGAACTTATGTCCAATGATGGCCTAACTTATGCATAACGCAGAGCAGCGTGATGCCTATGAAATGTTACAAGCCTGTGTCCTGAGGGGGGCAGCAATGCACCCAGAGGTGCCCGGGCTGTATAGAAGATTTTTTTGATCATGGTATTAACCCAGCTGCTGTTTACCACCTGGCAAAACAAGAAAAAAAAAAAGAAAGAAAAAGAAATAGAAAGAAAGAAAGAAGGTTGGCAGCCACAGCAGATTCAGCGTCATGTCTGCTAGGAAGTTTGTTGGTCGTGGCCGTGGGCGCGTACGCAGGCAGGATCCATCACACTCACCTTTTCGCTCACCCTACCACTGGAACAGAGCCTAATTGATGAGATCATGCTGATGTTGGAAGAAAATGATCAAGATGTGCCAAGTCCAGCTCCTGAAAAACAAACCCTTACCATAATCTGCCCTCCTCCAAATTTTACACTTGGCAAAAGGCAGTCAGACAAGTACTGTCTCCTGTCAGCGGGCCTCCTGGCAATCACTAAACTTAGTCAGATATCCAGATGGAGAAGAGCGATTAGCCAAGATGTGCTTCTGACCCTACAGTCTAACAAACTGTTGTCTGTTTGTCAGGCAGTCGTTGATCCAGGTGATAGTTGATGCCTCCACCTAAGTCTTGTGGAGTTTTTTTCACAAAGTAAGTCAGGCAGAATTGTGTTAAATACATCGGAGAAATCAAAGAACATGATACTCGCAGAGCTGTCTGCTGTGTCTAAATGACAGTGGGTTTGTTGAAGCAGGTGCATGATGGCATCTTCATCTCCAACTCCATGGCGATAAGCAAACTGCAGAGGGTCCTGATGACTAGTTTGCTTGCTGAGTGAACCAACAGGGAAAACAAGGTGTAACTAAAATAGTGCCCCTCATCCATTAATGTCAGTGCATATCATGTGAAAGAAGTAGTGAAACATTGGACAGCTGTCCATGTTGACTGCTTTGTAACCTCGTTATTACCATCTAGTCAGCAAAGATTGGATTTATCATGAGTTTGTTGCTTTTCCCTTCAAATGGTTAGTGCACAGTTAGACTCATGGACAACTGGAAATACTGAAAGTTAAGGGCTTTTCAGAAAAAATGTTTCACCTAGTCCACCCTTTTCATCATTTTACAGCCAGAAAATAAGTAAAAATGGTCAGGTCACCTGTATATAACTATGAACGTACCGTGTTTAAAACCATCTGTGTAAATGTAGCACAGGTGTTGGACATCATTATTGTTATATATGAAGAGCATGCAGGGGCAAACTTCCTTCAGGTCAGTCACCTTGTTTAATGGTCAAAGTATAGGCTTATCAGCTATATATCCTTATCAGAAAAATTACATGGAGCCTGAACGTGTTATGCAACTGCTTTTATTACTACTATTATTACTATAAATATTTGTGTTTTATTGCTTTCCATTGCATAAGTTTGCACAACTGAAAAGTACCCGATTCTGATTCTGATTCTGATTCTGATTCTAAAGAACGTTGGTCATATCTGTTGGCTTCTTCTACATTTCATTGCCATGCCGATAAAACTCTACAAAGCCTTAGTATCTATTATATCAGCTTAACAAAAGCTGTGTTTAATGATAAGACCAACAACCTGAGTGACAGATCTCTAATATAATTAATCTTTATTGTCACTTATTCCAGAGAGGAATTGATTAATGACCCAGTCTCCTTCACAACTGTCGTGACATCCTTCGATACTTCCGGTTTGATCTGAAACAAACATTACAAAAAGAGTAGCATTAGCATCAAATGTATGTTGATTATTTAAAATGTGTGCAATGGGTTAAAAACTAAAGGATAATGAATCTGTTAATGGGAATGCTCTATGTATTGTATGCCTTATCAGTGCTATTAAAAAAAAAACATTTATCTCTTATGTTTTGACCTATTTTATTCAATCCTGTTTAATGCAAAATAGGTACTGAATTATTTAAAAACCAAAATAAAACGTTAGGGCGGTTTTAACAACCTAACAGTTATGAGTGATTTATTATGGCTGACCCTAAAGGCCCGCCCTTTTAAGAGTCTTGATAACAGACAATTTCATATGTCTTTTGTGTTGTATGATTATTTTCTGCCTATAAGTTTAAGAAAACAATTTTTTTTTTTACCTGCAAAATGTTAATAAAAAAATATCATATTTTCTTGAAATAGGTGTAATTGCACTTGATTTGAGTTGGTAAGAAAAATTACATGCCGGCATAAAACTTTGCACTAAAATAAAAAAAAAAACAACAACAACAAAACATATCAATAATCTTTTGTTAACACAGAACATATTTTCTTATTTATTTAAATATTTACTTATCTTTACATGCTTTTTTGCACAACTATTGAATCCATGTCTTGAGTATTTAGCTTTTCTTCAATAATTCAACTCTAAGTATTATTTTTAAAGTCAATGAGGCAGATAAGAACAAGCTGTTTTTTAGACAGTAAGTTATTTACCTCTGTGACTCTCTCAACCCACTGGAGCAGGTGAGTGACTCTGCTATAGACGCCTGGTTTATTGGGCCGAGCGCAGCCTTCTCCCCAGCTTACCACCCCTGCCAGCCTCCAGTCGCCATTAGGAGTCTCACACACCAGGGGTCCTCCACTGTCCCCCTAATGCAAACCAAACAGGACAGAATGTTTAGATCAGGCTTTTGAGTATTTGTTTCTGAAAATCATAGCAAAAAACAACTATTTATTTAGATGGTTTCTCAGGCCCCCTGTTAGTTACAGTATATTTGTTGTGAAATGGAACCATATATGTATTCTGAGATAAAGTGAATTGTGTCACCTGGCAAGAATCCACTCCCCCAGGGAGGCTACCAGCACAAATCATGCGCGGAGTAATGAAGGCCCCATAGACAGGCAGGCTGGAGCAGATGGACCTAGCTATTACCTTCACCTGAGCCTGTCGTAGATCTTCTGATACAAACCCTTAGACATAAGAAACAACACAAACAACAAATCTTAAAGAGATAACTCCTAAAGGTGTTTTTAAGATTATTTTAAACACATTTTGGCAAGTTTAAGTTTAGCTTCATCTATAGCTTTTTGTTCATTTCATCACCACAGTGATTGAGTTTTGTGGCTAAGGGGCCATTAGGGAAAATGTTTTCCTTGTCGTTCACCTCCTTCGTGGGTAA